GACTAGGTGGCCGAGGAACGTCACTTCTTTGCGAGCGAAGCGACATTTTTGCGCCTTGAGCTTCAGTCCCGCCGCTCGGATCCGCTCGAACACCTCTTGTAAAGTGGCCAGATGCTCTTCCTCCGTCCTGTTGAACAGGATGACGTCATCCAGGTACACTAGGCAACTTTTTGTGTCCAGACCCGCCAGGATCATTTCCATCAACTTCTGGAACGTGCCGCTCGCATTCTTCAGGCCCATTGCCATCACTCTGAAGTGATGTAGCCCCTTGCCCGTCGAAAACGCCGTCTTTTCTCGATCCTCAGGTGCCAACTCCACCTGCCAATATCCCGTGGCCATATCCAGCGTGGTGAACCACCTCGCTTTAGCCAGGGTGTCGAGAGAGTCGTCAATTCGAGGGAGTGGCATCGCGAAGCCTTTCGTCACTCTGTTCACTGCTCTCAGGTCAACACAGAAGCGGAAGGTTCCGTCCTTCTTGCGAACCAGTACCACTGGAGAGCACCAGGGACTTTCGCTTTCCTCGATGATCCCATCCTGTAGCATCTTCTCCTTCTGCTTCTCCACCTGGTCACGCACCTTCAGCGGCACCCGCCGTGGTCTTTGTTTGATGGGACTAGCATCACCAGTATCGATCTTGTGTCTGGTTAGATTCGTCTGACCAATATCTCCGGGACGCCAGCTGAAGACATCGGCATATTTCTCGAACAAGCCGCGCAGCCTCCCCTGACCATGTTCCCCGAGATCAGTCAGACCGGGTTCCAGCGCCTGCTTCACGTCCGGATCGATATCTTCAGCTGCCTCCGGTGGAAAACCTCCACCTTCGCAGCTCGCCACCGCGTCAACCACGTCGTCCGGCTCTGGACACAGTTCACACATGTCTCCCAACGAGTCTCCCATCGAGAAGAATGTTCCCACGTCTGAGCCTTTCAGCAGTCGAACGTCTTCTGTCCCGACGTTCGAAAATTGAATGGGCACTGTGCCGTCGGTCGCGACAGCAACAACAGCTCTCGGTATCAACAGTGAGTCCCAGTCGGCTGCAGGGCTCGGCTCCACCATCCCGGTCATGGGCGTCTCTGCCACAGCTACGCCGGATCCATCCAGCGGTTCAACCACCGCTGCAGCTGTCAGGATCGAGCGACCCGGAATAGTCACCGTCCCTGCCAGAACAACCTTAGCTCGGGAAGCTCGAATCTCTGGGTACGTGGGAAGGGAAATTTTCAACCCTTTGATACGAAAAACTCCCTCTTCGTCATCGATGATGGTGCGATGCTGACAACAGAAATCTCGACCGAGAATCACGTCATACACCAGACCAGCCACCGCTGCCAGTCGAGAACATCCGAATGTCTCTCCGGAGATCGACATCGGGACATCACAGAGTACCTCCGTGATCACCAGCGGACTCCCACCCGCTCCCTTCGCAGACCGCGAAGGGGTGGTTGACTTACAGCCCAACTCCACCTTGATGCGCTGATGTAAGCCGCACCTCACCATCGAGAAATCTGCGCCAGAATCAATGAGTGCCCACGCCTCAAGACTACCGATTTTCACCCTGACGGCGGCTGCGGTGAACCGGGACTGGTGAGAAGCAGCTGACTCTCGCCCCACTGAACCAGCTGCCCCTAGTTTTCCGGCTGCCTGTTGTCAGTGGACTTCGTTGGTGCAGTCTGCCGTCTGCCCTGCGCTGAACGGGTCACGTGGTCCGTGAGAGAGCGGCAAGCCGCCATCCAGTGACCGCTGCGACCACAGGCTAGACAGAACGGGTGACGTGGACCCCTCCCAGGCTCCTTGAACGGACAGTCAATCCGAATGTGTCCCCTTTCTCCACAGCAGAAACAAATGACGTCACCGGTACCAGACCTCGGCTGAGCGCGGCGAGCCGCCGGGCAGTCTCGTCGCATATGCCCTGGCGCTCCACACCTGTAACAAGATATGTCTCTCGACAGCTCTGAACCTGTTCGGGAGCTGGCAGCAGCTACTAGTGTCTCCATCGAATACCTGAGATTGGCTATCTCCTGTTCCAACTGAGCTACCCGGCCGTCGCTGCAGCTTGCGTCGACCCGGTCTGGCTCAGCGTCAACCGCCGCCACCGCCGACCGAACGCCTGAACAGCCTTGCTGAGTCACAGGTGACTGGCCAGCCGCCCGCACCGCCTGGACCACCTCCTGGCGCTTGTTCAGCTCGTTCACGATAGACACTGCTTCGGACAGGGACCCTGGCCTCCGGTGACACAATTTGGCCTGAAGCCACTCATCCCGCAGCCCACAGATGAGTCGGCTCGCCAAATCCTCATCTAGAAACTTTCTCGGTTCAGTCGAGCCGGACCCTTTCGACCCGGGCGCTGCCGCCTGTGATGGAAATGCGGCTCGGCCGAGTTTCCCGATGCGGTCTGCAAAATTTGCCACCGTCTCTCCTGGTGCTTGACGCACCCCACCGAGCGCTGCCCGCGCCTCCAGTGGATCGACGGATCTACCGAAACGCTCACCCAGGTGCTTCCGTACCTCGCAGTACGATTTGTTAAGTTTCAACTGTGATTGCGCACAATCCGAGGCCAGACCGTCCAACAACGGCAGGAGACGTTTTAACCGTCCCTCGTCCTCGTGCTCAGACGTCAGCGCCTCGAACCGTGCTATCCATCCCTCCCAGTCATCCGTGTCCAGCCCCGCGAACCGCGGAGTGCGTGATACCAGGATGGTGTCATTAAAGTCCATCGCCGGACTGTCCCTGGGGCCCCGAAATATATGCAAAAAAATATTACAGCTGACCCTTCCACGCAGTGCAATTGTGATGTGGCCTTGTATTTAATGTCGACTGCCGTGTGGACCACACGGCGACAAAAAATCACGCCGAGCAAACCGCTCGTCGATGCCACTTAACCAAAATAAGTCATTGATAACATCCGCCGTGTGATCCACAAGGCGAGGAAAAAAAATATGCTGAGCGAGCCGCTCATCAACAGACACGCAATACCAATAACGGCAATTCAAATAAAAAATAATATCACCAATCCTGAATTCATGTGGCTTACCTCTAGTGGTGTCCTACCGACCGCGCCAATATTACAGGCACATATATTACAGGCACAACACCCCGTTCCGCGTCCCGCGACCGACTGCCCGCTCGCCGCGGCGCGCCCACTCCCCAGCCGCCGCCAGCCGGGCGGCGGCGCCGCGACCACTCGCCGGGCCGCGCCACGGGCGGCGCCAGGCGCTCGCCCAGGGGCGGCCCGCGCCACGGGCGGCGCCGGGCGCCCGCCCAGGGGCGGCCCGTAACATAGCCGGCCACGTCTCTGGCTTCCAGCGGGTGGCCGAGATGAGCCGGTCGCCGGCGGCGGGCGTCGTTAAAACCGGGCACATTCCGAGCACTGGCCAACTGCTCACAATGGCGCTCATTTTCGCCGACCTCGCGTGACCTCATCCCGGCAGCAGGAGCGGCGCCCCGCCCCTGGCCACCGCGCCGCGCCGCCCCAGAGCCGCCCTCCGGGAGACGCGGAGCCGCCGGAGCCGCCCTCCAGGAGCCGCTGGAGCCACATCGGTCATTCGGCCCGCGCCGATCGGTCGCCGCCGGTCGCTGCCGTGACCCCGACATGTGTTTAGCCCGCGTCCATCTGGCTACTTGGAAAACAAAGTGGAATCAAATACAGATCAAATTCGGAGCCTATGAGAGGCGCGTCATGCCTCGGTAATACCGTATCACAGTTATAGTGATACAGATGGATGACTACGTTTACTATAATACAGCGTGCGATCCTGGGCTAACCTTGTGGCACTAATTGAATGATATTTACATCAAATCACTGTAATTTGCTTGTTAGATGCTTACCCACTGCACGGGTGGACAGTCAGATATTGTCCCAAATGCAATCTGAACCAGGTCAGGGCCGGGCCGAGCCGCTCCCGCTGTGCGTTGTCTGCACTTGTCGGCTCCAATTAGAGTCTACATCATCCGCACAGAGCACCGCCCCAGTGCGTTGGGTGGTCGTTTTTACACGAGGATCTGACTTTCACATGTCGCACCCGCCCTGGCTAACCTTCCCTCGTGTAATTCGATCTCCCGGATCTGAAAATACCCCAGGGTACGGCTATTTCTGGAAATGCTGCTGCGGCAGGACCTGGTTACTTCTGCAGGTGGTTAGGTGGCTAGCAACAGGAGTTTTATCAGCGTCGTTTGATCCCAGTAACTCCATTGAAGACGAAGTTTTTGTAGATTTAGGTACGCTTGCACATTGCACAGTGATCTTACTCACGGTTAAAATGGCATTGAGCTTACCAGTGTTGCTATTATTAGGCGTCAAACTCGTCTTGGCAGATGAAAAAGTGTTATATTCCTGTATAAAATCAGCTAACATGAAAAGGTCAAATGCTATAACTTTTACATTGAAATTAGGCCGAACTGTTCAAACGAAAACTAACGTTACATACTTTGAAGGCATTTAATAAACAGCAAATAGTTGAAAAACTGACCGCTGTAATATTATTTGCTGCGAGTTGGTAGTCACCTGGTGGTCGGTCCATTACCAGAAAATCCATGACGGATTAACAGCAAATAGACAAACGTAATGAGGAGTCCCGACGCGAGCTACTTGCGTGACATAATTAGAGCGTGTGGGGCGTGAAATGTGGAGCCTCATAGCCAGAACAATTTTGTGCTGACAGGAAGCCAGCCATGCCACCGAACGGAAACTGTCGAAGGCACTCACGTGAAAAAGAAAGTGGCCAGCTTCGGCGGAAAACAGGAAACGTGGCCGAGGGTTCAGGGTGTTCTCAGGCGCGCGGTGGGAGCGTGCGCTGTGCAAAAACGGGATTCTCGGTCCGTGTGTGACGGTCGGGCGGTCACCAGTGGGCTTCACTAATGTGAGGCGGTGTCACATCTGACTGGATGCTAATCTGTCCGTTACTGACCGCGTCCCACCGCCCACACCCCGCCCTGTGTCCTCCCTGTGCCCGCCACTCCCCACCGTTCGCCCTGTACTAACCGTGTCTCTCTCCTGTGTGTTTCAGGCGTTCAAGGAGCACGGCATCGACGGCAGCACGCTGCCGCTGCTGAGCGCCGAGCACCTGACCAACATCCTGAGCATGAAGCTGGGCCCGGCGCTGAAGCTGCGCACGGCGCTGAGCCAGAAGATCGGCCACTGCGCCGTCTGCATGCACTGCTCCCACTGCCACGCCACACCCAAGACCGCAGACGCCGCGCAAAAGACGAACTCTGCGTGAAGTAATTGATATCCATACGGTGATGTCGCTTGGTATTTGTCGATAAGTATGACACACATGACGCATTTATGTAGAACCGTGCAATTTCAGTGCAGTTTTTTGTTTATAGCTCGTATTTTTTTGCTGGGGTTGTGCAAAATTGTGAAATCCGCCCGTAATAGCAGCTCCATAGCGTGTGTACGGTGCATTGGATGTGAGTTAGTTGTGTGTTTGGTGTGTGTATGTTTGGTGGTGAGATTCACATGCCGTCGAGGTGTGCGTTTTCTCTGAGCGACACAATGAATGACGTAGAATGGTGTTAAACTGTTAACTGCCCTACCGACCATGATAGGATGCATTGCATGATTGTGATGTAGCTTGAGATATGTTGTAATTATGTTATGAAATTATTCGTGTAGCCCTCAATGCAACCCTCTAGCAACCCTCAATGTCGTTTTGAATTGCACGGTCGACATAAAACAAACAATTATTGTTTTACCATCTGTTTTTAGTTTTGAAGGTTGATTTGTCATAAGTAAAGTACAGTCGAGTGAAGTTGAGTGCTGAAAACATAAATCGCCTCTTCTGCTTCAATAACGACGAGTTGTTGATTCACTTGAACATCTCAATCGACCAAATGCCTACCACAACTATATTCGACAACGCATAATAAACGTACAACCCGTTTATATTAGGACTGCAATAGCAGTTTTGTGTTCAAATGTTTTACTTCGCATTACTTTGCATATGTATGCAACATATGTCACATGTTGAACATCATGTTGAGATGGTGGTGGCACCAAATACACTATTGTGATATGAGCCTGTTGTATAAAACTGTCGTCGGTTAAAATATTGGATGTCGAATGTCAATCATGGATATAGACACGTGATATGCATTCATAAAACATATAAAAGATTTAAGAATGTTGGTCCTTACTTATGAGCTACGCATTTTCACGCTGCTTTTAATTTGATTTATTTTACCTGCACATTTAAATAAAAAAATGGGTGATACGATTACGATAGACGATAGGCGATGCAACCATGCATCCAACCATATGCACGTCAAGCAATATAATTGTTTGGCATACCATTCCTGGTCACTCAGATTTAAACATCTAATTAAACAACGACTATCTCATCGAAACAAACGCCCGGTTAAATCGGCTAAATGCATAGTTTGGGTTCTTGTTAACGTAAGAAAAGGAAAATACCAATTCGTAATCATGCCTAAATCAACTAGGATTTTACGAAGAGAAAACTTCTTCCAACGTCTCAGCTAAGTGCCGGTAAAAATTTTGTTCAAACCTAAACGAGCTGTCTTGCATCAGCCTGCAAATGGCAGCTGCTCAAACTGGTTCACTTATGATGACGTGATCTAGGTGCTGGGAATGAGCTAAGATGCGGGCTTTCGGCTGATTTCTCATATTTATCTTCACATAAGCCTGGTTTATCTTCCTTTTCGTGACGTCACAGGAACTTCAGGAACTCGTGACATCATTTTTACGAACTACAGCGCAGCTTAGCAATGCAGAGCAGCACGTCACGGGCACAACTTTTTAGGAAGGGGGCTGGTATAATGCGATATCGTGTGGACGAGAAAGTGAAGATTTAATCCTTCTTTGCAATAGGTAGGTTATCGATTTTGATAATCGAGTCTGGAAGGCAAATCACTGCATCTAAAGCTGTTCGTTTAATGTCGATATAAATAGCCTCTAGACTATCTTTTCATTCTCCGAAGCATGTTTTTTTTCCAAACACCACAGTAAATGCATTCTATAAAACACCTGGGTCTAGAAACATATGTATTTGTATCACAGATAGACATGAATACATGTTCACCTGTGACAAAGTCACAGTGTTTGCGAACATGACCCAGCAAATAACATTCATATACGGCATTCACCTTATCAGAATAACACTTTATACTCTGTTGTGCATCGCGCAGGATGAGAAATAATGTGCTAAATGTGGAAGACCACGAGAGACAGACAAAACTGGTTTATGAAGAGGGCGCGGCCAGAACAAATCCCATAGCGATTGTACAGTCAACGACTTGTAGTTCTTACAAAGACCCAAAGTTCACAACATGCATGGTGAGGTGGCGCTCAAAAGACCAGTTTAGCCAAGATGAGAGATATCCAAGAAGTCATGGAGCGAATAGTCTGCTTATGAGAGCTGGACGGGTTAACAGTCATCTAACTACTTATCTATTACTTACAAGTACTTTGTGATCGTGCTGATTGCATCAGTCTCTCGCAGATCCAGACAAAATGCTCTGTCCCCACGAGATTACATGTCTGGCCTGTCATGTTTCCTAAGCCTCTCGTTCAGCGTATTTCTCATAATCGCGAGCACGTTGTACGTAACAACAAACAAAAACAGCCACCAAACTTTCTACACATCTGTCCCACCTAATTGAACCACCGTGCGCACAGTTGTCGCCAGTCGTGACGTAAAATAACAACATCGTCGTCGCTATTGCTTCATTGGAGACGAAGGCACAGCGGGAGATTCTCACGCGCCGCGACCGAGGCAGTTTCTCCCCGGGCGCGGCCAATGAAGCGTCTCCGACCGCATCCGACGACAGCAGGGCATAAAACAACCTCCTCCCTCCCTCTGTCTCTCTCCCGCCCTTCCTGTCACCCTCCCGTCCGTCCGTAGGCCGTTCAGTGACCTTTGGAGGTGGGCGAGAAGGGCAGGAACGACTTGGCCACGGTCTTGGGCGTGGCGTGGCAGTGGGAGCAGTGCATGCAGACGGCGCAGTGGCCGATCTTCTGGCTCAGCGCCGTGCGCAGCTTCAGCGCCGGGCCCAGCTTCATGCTCAGGATGTTGGTCAGGTGCTCGGCGCTCAGCAGCGGCAGCGTGCTGCCGTCGATGCCGTGCTCCTTGAACGCCTGAAACACACAGAAGAGAGACACGGTCAGGGCGAACGGTGGGGAGAGGCGAACACAGGGCGAGGTGCGGGCACTGGGGCGCAGTCAGTGACGGATTAGCATCCAGTCAGATGTGACACCGCCTCACATTAGTGAAGCCCACTGGTGACCGCCCGACCGTCACACACGGACCGAGGATCCCGTTTTTGCACAGCGCATGCTCCCACCGCGCGCCTGAGAACACCATGAACCCTCGGCCACGTTTCCTGTTTTCCGCCAAAGCTAGCCACTTTCTTTTTCACGTGAGTGCCTCCGACAGTTTCCGCCCGGTGGCAGGCTGGCTTCCTGCGGGCGCCAAATCGCCCCAGGCTATGGCCGGAGGCGACACGCCACCACGCTTCGCTGACGGCCCTTTAACCTTCAAAGCCATTCGATTTCCGATTGTCAAATTCAATTACGGCTGGTGCGCGGAGCGGAGGAAGTCTGGCGGTCAGCTGATGGCCTCCGCGGTAGAAGTGTGGGAACAGTGAGATTCGGACAAAAAGCGTTGTTTGTACCCTTCCCATAGTGTGGTGGCCGTGGGGTGTGTCCTTTCCACTTGACGCAGTCATAACTCTTCGGAATGTCTCCACGTTCCTGCCATTCGGAAGCAGAAATTGTCGACCGCATGCCGGTCACATAACCTCGTATCTACATGCGCCTCAGATCTGAGGGCCAGCCATCGAGGCTGTGGTGCTGGAGGACACCACGGTCTGATTTTCTCGCGGAAGCCGGGCACAGGTGTCGAAATGGGTCAGCTCGCACGCCGGTGCCGACCCCGAATAAACGGCTCGTAAGACGCCCGGTCGGTCGAGCGGCGGCGGCGGCCGGCAGCACGCGCGCGTCCCCCGGCAGTTACGACCTCCCAGCGCAGTTTATTGGCTCTACTTTTTAATAAGCGGCTTGGCGGCCCGCTCGGTGGACGCGATGGTCACCTCGATAGCCGTTCACGAGTGCCGGCCCTGCTAGAGCGACTGTAACTGCTCGGAGAGGGCGGGGCCGCCACACGGCAGAAGAGGAGGCGGCAGCGGCGGCCAGCGTCCGGCCGAGAGAAAGCAGCGACCAGCCGTAAACGGCGCGCCCAGAAACTCAATCTCGTAATTTACCAGCCGAGAGGGCGCCCGTCTTATCTGGCCATCCGAGTGGACAGGAAATTAGCCGCGGCCGTATTAATATCGGAGGGAGTTTCTCCGGTGGCCACCGCTGGCCCTCCGCCTCCGTCTCTCCCTCTTCCCTCCGTCCGCCGTGCCTCACCGGAGCAGCCGATCTCTTTCCACGCCCGTCCGTGACATCAGCAGCAGCGGCGGCGGCGGAGACCGGCCCGCCTCCGGCCCCGCACGGCAGCCCTGCTCCGCCGGCGCCGCCGGCCGGCCGCATGCACGGGCGATTTGTGCACGATGCACGCTCCAGACCGGGGGCGCCGCCGACGGCGGCCAGCCGTGCACGCCGCGGTAATGTATGGGTGACGCGCGGCTAATGGGCCGGCGGCCGGCGCGGTCGGACACGAACCGTGTCGCCGCCGGCGGTCGCTCCCGGCCACAGGTAAACAGGCCCACCGGTCACCGGGGTGGGTGCGGCGCATGAATGGATGGAGGCCGCCGACCGGGGAGGGGTGGTCTTCTGTAACTCCCGGCTATCGCAGGTGATTCCCGGTCAATATGTGTTTCGTAGAGTGGCTGAGGCGGGGGAGGTGGGCGTGTGGATTCTAGTCACGTGCCCAACTTTTCAATTGAGTGCGAAAAGCTTCGTGCTTAGCGTTCTTATAGCACCGCCAATGTTCTAGCGTGGTGCAAGCGTGGTGTGCTGTTGCCTAAAGCCATCAATGACTGAGCACCTAAGCCATCTGCTTTTTGCTGAGCTATCTTAATATGGGTCTGAAGGTCACAAAAAGCAATCAAACCACTCTCGTAGGTCAGCGCAGCAGCGTCCAGCCCTCTCCCGCCCCGGCCGCATTTACATAATCTGCAGCCAACTCCTTCTTGAATGCAAATTTTTGCTCGATAATCTGTGTGTCGGCGGGCCGGGCCGCGGTGCCGCCACTTCATGACCTCCGCTCCTCTCTGCACAGAGGGCACGAGCGCCCGGGGCACCGGGAACTCGGCGGCCGGTTTAGGGTGGACGCTGCGCCCCCGGCTAGCTCAAAGGTCAGCGAGGCAACCTCACAGGCCGGAGAAGGCAGCCGTAGATACTGCAAGGAAGGCCGCCTACGGTAGCGAGACTCCCAGCTCAGCGTCGGCGAGTAGAGGGCGTGGCAGCCGGCCAGTCCGGCTCGGCGGGAGGTGCCGGGATGGAGAGCGCCCCCTCCGGGACCCGGGAGGTAGGTACTCGGGTGTGGCCGACAAGGCTGACCGGAGCGCCCGTCCGAGGTCGTCTGACAGACTCGAGGTCGCCGGGTCTTCACTACCGACATCAGATGCGGAAGGGTGAGTCCTTATCACAGCCCCTTAGTGCGTCAGAGCTCTAGGGGAAGCCGGCAGAGCAGTGACATCAGAGGGGAGAGAATTATGGTGGCGGAAGGGATGGTGCAACGCCGCCGGCAGCAGTGCCGAGCATTACAACTGTTCCGGTCTAGCGACAGTAGCGACATGGACGGCTTCGGACTACCGACGGTAGGCATCGATGCATGAACGGGCGCGAACCACAGCTCGCCGTCCGGTCCCACATCCGGCGAGGGGCGTCGCGCAAGCGTGCAGCCCGGCAGCCCGGTTCCCGTGAGAGCCGGGCTGGAGCTCGGCCACCGTGTGGCGGCGCCGTCCCGGCTCGGCAGGTCAGCGCGGCCCCCGCGGCGAGCTGCCGCATAACGGCACCGGCCACTTGTCAGCCGGCGACAAAACTGACACAGCCAGTCGAGTTATGGCCCCCCGCGTACTGTGTCGTCCAGATAGCGGCTCTGGCCGCGGCCGGCGGGTCCCGTCGCGCAGCACCGGCTCTAAATCACTGCCGCCGGCGCCCCGCGGCCCGGCGCAGCCTGTCGCGCCGACCGGGCTCTCTTCGCACGTCGTTGTCCGCGGCATCTGGCGACCCCTGACCTGAGGGCGCCGACACCGCGACCCCGTCGGCTCAGCCACCTGCTAGATAGAATCTTAATGAATTCCTCAGCGGCGGCCGGGTCTCGCAGCTTCTGGGGTCAGCCGAGGTCGACGCTGTTGTGTAGGCAGGAATTTATAGTGGGCCGCGCGCGCGGCAGGCAGCCTGTAATGGTTCCGGTAATAGTGTGTTTGGGTTCTCGGTAATCATAGTGCCTCCGGTGGACGGGTACCGCGTGAATCCGGCGCATCAGCTCCCTGGCTGCAATCCCTCAGCCACCGACAGCAAGAAAAGCCAAGTTTTTACCACCGGTCAGAGAGCGTCAAACTCGGGCTTCTGGGAGGCTTCCGTTTCAGGGAGCTGCCTCCTAGAACCGCACGCTTCCAAGCGCAGTAACAAGAGCAAGGAGCGATTCCGTGGCTCAGATAGGCCGATGAGGATCAGTGTAGTCGGGTCTGAGAGGACGACAGGCATGTCCGCCTGAAAGGACCGGGCCCTCGCGGTGCCATGGCGCTGGTCATTTACGACCCCTGACGGCGGCCCGCGGCCCGCAGCCGGGCCGGCCGGGCGCCTCACCTGACCTCTGACACGGCAGGCATGTCTGACCGCTGGCTACCGGCCCGGGCTCGCCTCTCCGTACAGATAACACCCGGCGGCGGCTCCTCCATCCTCTCTCCCGCGCTCTCTCTGCGCTCCGCTCTCGCTCGCTGCCGACCCTCGGTGGCCGCTCCGTTTGAAAGGATATCGGGCGTCGGGTCGAGGGTCGCGACCCGCCGGCGCGGGTCGGGTCACCCGTAATGGTTATCATTGTTGTCGGGCGTCGTTAGGGCCGATGTGGGGCCAGTTTCTCCCAATCATCAGCGCCGTCAGCCGCGGGGAGCAGCTGCCGCCCGGGCGACTGATGACTTGACCCGGCCGGGAGGCAGCACCCCGGGCCGCCAGCCGCCCCGCCGGGCCCACTGAGGACCTGCCCGAGCACGGGAGGCCCTGGGGAGCCCACAGAGGCACAGAGAGGGCCCCAGCGCCGCACGTGGGGCCGGGAGGTGCACTCTGCAGCGCCCACCGCCGCCGGCCGGGCTGCAGCGGTGGGCGGTGCCGGTCCCTATCTCGGAGCGGACAGAGCGGACCAGATGATGCCCTCAGACCGCCCTCCTTCATTATCAGAGGTCACCAGGGCCAGGTTGAAACGTCGGAAAAAGTCATCATTAGGACGCGGAGGAGAACCAATCTAAAACTTGCTCCCGGTGGTTATAAATGGGCGGCCGAGTGGCTCGGGAGACTGCTGATTAGCGCGCGCTGGCCGCCCTGAGTCTGTGTTCCGCACGTGATGAGCATCTGGAGCACGGAAACGACACCCGGCGGCTACTGGTGGCGGCCCACCTCCGCAGCAGTGGCAGAGACCGCACAGAGAAGGAAGGTCTATGTAACGGCCGCAAAGCATACAACTGAGAGACCCGGGGTTAGGGTTAACATGAGAAGGCAGAGAGGAAATAAACTCACCTCAGCATACTCGGCGCAGACGTCCACCGAGCGGACGAAGGCGCACACCTGCTCCACGTCCCAGGCGGCCACGGCCTCGGCCTCGGTCGAGCACGGCTTCTGAGTGCACGCCGAGCCGTGCAGGGCGGCCGCCAGTTCGGCGGTCGGCCGCGGCGAGGCGCTGCCGGCGCGCGGTTCCTCCTCCTTCAGACCAAACAGCTCCTTGAAGCCGGCCTTGTCCAGACGAGGTCGCTTCATGTTGGACAGGTCGAGCGGCGCGCCCTCGGCCGGTCGCTTGCCGGCCGGCGCGGTCGGCGCGGCGGCGGCGGCGGCCACGGCGGCCTGCGAGCTGGCCAGGTAGTCGGACGGCGTCAGGCCGGGCCGCACCATCGACAGCATGTCCAGCATCGGCAGGCCCGAGAGCGCCGCCAGGTGCGGGTGCATGGCCAGCAGCGGGCTGGCCGCCGTCACCGGCTCCTCCTTCTTCTCCTCCTTGGGAGAGCCGGCCGGCAGCAGCGGCGTGTGGCCCGGCTTCAGGCCGTACCGACTGTAGTCGAAGCCGCGCAGCAGGCCGTTCTGCTGGCCGGAAAAGTACCTGCAGGCAGACAGACACACACACGGTCAGCACCACTGTGGAGCGTAGGAGGCGCCTGCGATCAGTAAAACACATGTGGAGCGGCCGATACGGCCAGTCATCACGCGGTGATCTGACTGCGGGATGGGCGGCCGGCTCTCGCAGCGGGAGCGCCCTCTGATGTATGGCCCTTCCGCCGATCGACCCAATACACACACACACACACAGAGCCCAGAACAGAAGCGGCTCATTCCCATCCAGCACGTAAATCAGCGCCACCCCACCGCTCTGCCCGCCTCCTCCGACCTCTGCCCACGCGGCACGCTGTCTTTATGGATGCCGCCGCCCGTCAAGTCGTCCATCCGTTGTCGATACGCGGCCGGTAATGAAGCGGTGCGCGTGCCGGGTCGGGTCATTGGCGGCCACGACTGCACGTGCCGTACGGGCCGGCCGGCGAGGCGGGAGGTCAGCTCATTACAGTCGGCCTAGTCGTGACCGCCGCCGCGGGATGCTCTGTTTCTCCGCCCTCATCCGCCACCTCTCCTGACGAATCCTACCCGCTGGCGCGGTACTTGGACTGCCATTCCGCCCACTTTGACCACAATCCAGGCCGAGAAACTTGTCTCGTCCGCGTTCCTCCGTGTCCCCAGCCTGCTGCTGTCGCCTATCGCGGTCCGGCCGGCGGCGGTGGGCTGTGGGCCCTCTCGGAGGCCGACACCGCTCAGTCGGCCCCGCCCCCGGCCTGACCTTTTGTCTCATCAGCGGCGCCGGTCTGCCGAGCGGAGCGGCTGTTAGTTGAGCTAGCAGCGGAGGTAGCCAAATGAGGTCCGGGCGGGTCAGAGGGCGGCCCGCTCCTCCCGTGCCGGGCTTCCCAGTCGGCCTCCCGGTCACGCCGCCTCTGCAGACGGCCAGCCGCTGCAGCGTGCTGCCTATCGACCGCGTCCGTCGTCACGTGCCCCGCCCCCGGCGGCTCCTCTCCCTGCGCCGCTCTGTTTTCTCCGATCGTGTTCCGTTTTTATCGCCTCTGTCCGTCTGATTTCTCCGGCTGCTCCGGTCGGCCGGACGGTCATCCACACGTCCCGCCGAGTGACATGCCGTGAAATATGCTCGGCGGCCGCGGCGGGTGTCGATTCTCCGACAGCTGGTCATCTGTCAGTGGGACGTCAACGTGCTCTCTCGGCTCCGGCTGCTCTCGCCTCACCGCGACTCTGCAGCGGAGCGGGTCACGGCCCCACCGGCCACTCTGGTGGCCTCTCCGCCTGACCGAGCAGGTGGCTTGACTGTCGCCATGCTCAGTGCTCACAGCGGCCCACCACGCTCACCTCTGACCTTTGGGCTGACCTCGAGAGTGGCCACCCGGTCGGCAAAACCGGCCGGCGACGCCGCGCGACACGGCGACTGGTGTCGGGTCGCCATCGCCACCTCTGCGACCCCGGTCCCCGGGTCGACGAAGGTGTTCGAGTGAGGTCGCAGAGGAGGAGTGGGGGTCGAATGAGGTCGTAGAGGAGGGGGTTGGATGAGGTCGTTGGGGAAGGGTCGTCCGGTTCACGTTGTGCTGACCCGGCACACGAACCTTCTGACCGAGTCGTATCGAGTGTCAATGGGAGCTGTGAAGCGCCGGTGGCAGGTGAGCCGGTACACTACCCGCAGTCACCTGACCGGCCCCTCTACCCCCGGCCCGTGACGTCACCGGCTGCTTCAGCCGGAATTCGGGGTCACGGAGGTGCAAGGATCCACGTCGTCTCCCAACAGGCCACGTCAGGATTCTCAGAAGGCGTCCTGATGTCACTCTTGTCGCCAGGGAAAAGAACTACAGATCTGTAGTTCTGGACACGCTCCGACTTTTCTGACGTTCATCTCGGGCTGATACGTGATTTCCGGCTGAATTTCGAACCAACTTGGCGCTCGTGTCGGCATAGCTGCACGATCCTGCAGCTGCTGATCCTTAGCCGGGGTCAGACAAAGGCCAGGCTGGCAGCATGTGGTGACGCCGGGGCCATGTCGGCCGCTAATGCGCGACCTCTGGCGCGACCTCTGACCCGGCCTGACCGCCGCACCGCGCCGGCCCGCCGCCGTAATTGGTAACCGCTGGTCGCCGGTAATTGTTGAATGCCCCGTGCACGTACCGGGCTGACCCGCCGCGTGTGTGTGGTCGGCGCTGAAAAACGGCCGTGTCCGCGCCGTGTCCGCGCCGTGTCGCGCCGGGTCGTGACCGGGGGAAGTCACGGTCCGCCGGCCGAACACGACCCCGCCGAGCGCCGCGCTGCGAGCGACGCTAAAATGGGGAGACGGATGAAACACGCGGTCGTGACGCCGCGCCAGGGACAGAGTTTACGAGTTTTTCGGGTCGACAAGGACATCATGAGTGGACGGGGAGTTTATGGGAGGATAAAAGACAGGGAGAGACGTGAAAATCGTGAGGAGGAAAGCGTAATTTTTATCAGCAATAAGTTGGATGATAGGCAGTAATGTAATCCAAAAATAAGTTTGTGTTAGCTCATTCAATTATAAACAAAATAATAGGCAATTTATGCGCTCATTAATAAGCTTGCTGCAGTTGAAAAGCAATGCATTACATGCTTGCTACTAAGTAGCATTAAACATCGAATCACATTCTAATGTTGTCAGACTTGAAGGGTGTAAATGAGGCTGTAATGCTTCTTCGCCCTTAGCGGGCAGCCGAATTTGCTTAGTTAACACTGCGTTAAAACCATGTCGAACATGTTAGACTGCGACTGACTCGGTGTTGTGGCGCCACTTTCAGGCGGCCATTCCCACGCCATCGCTCCTGGCGGAGAGTGCGCGCTCCTGGCCATTAGTGGCCGCTCATAAACTCAACAAATACGGGCCATCACGGCCTGTGCTCGCCGACGATGGACAGCCTACATAGCTGACATGGTTTGGCGTCCTCGGCGGCGGCGGTCGCGGTGGCAGGCTGGGAGCGCGCGAGACTTTGCCAGAGGCTTTGAGAAACAGACCGCGAGGAAGTGGGCCTGAGTGACCAGCCGGTGGGCAGCGCGGCTCCCCATTGGCCGTCATTACCGTGCTCAGTGGCTGCACGGCACCACGACACCACGCACACCGCGCCCGGAGAGAGAGAGCCGCTGGGAGCGCCGTTCCGACCGAGCTGCTCTGTGACGGGCGGTGGGAAGTCGCACGGGAGCGTCGGCCCGTCGACGGCCGTCGGTCGTCGTCTGGTGTGCCGCGAACGGAACACCGGTAGCGGTATTAATCAGAGCGTGGCGATGGCGACATCCGGAGACAGTGCGGCCACAGGCCAGATGGCGGACGACATCCGGCGAAACCGGCGATAGATCGGAGTTCGGTCGGACATATGTAACGCGCCGATACGGAGGCATTCGCACGGAATTAGACACAGCTGGTCATACGTTCAGGTCTTCAGGCACCGAACAGTTAGATGTGCGGAATACGCAGAACAAATATTATCGAAAAAAAAAGAAATACATCCTTGATTGCTGCTAGGCTAGTAATGAAAGCTAAATATGATATATGTTAGAGTACTCACTCGCTGTGCGTGCTGCTGTTGTTGTTGTACTTGGCGGCCAGGCTGCGCATGAAGTCGCTGTAGTTTCTGGGCGGCTGCGGCGGACCGACGCCCGGCTGGCTGGTGACGGGGGTCGCCGCCACCGACGCCATCGACGCCGGCGTGGCCGGGCTGTGACGCTCCGAGGAGGAGCGCTGCGACGCCAGCGAGCGCGGCGAGCCGCTGGGACTGCGGTCGGGCGTGGCCGCCTCGCGCTTGACCAGCTCCCCGGCGCGGTCCGGGGTCCTCTTCCTGCGGCGCTGTTTGACGGCCGGCGTGAGGCTGAGGCCCGACGGCAGCTCCACAGAGTCGGTCAGACCGTCTGAGGGGGGAGGGGAGGGGGCGGGTCAGAGTGCAGTCTGCGGAGGCCTGGCAATGAGCGAATAGTAAATCAGATTGGCAAATGAGCATATGAAGTGAGAATGTAACCGTTGACTTGCACGCCATTCGAGGCATCTTCAATAAACATTGCATCGCATATGAGCTTAGTTGCACCTTAGGTGATAGCTACTGCCAATTTTCCGTTGGTCATTAACGATGATTGCACCGTCTCTACGACGCCCGAAAGGCGTTCACGAACGCATTGGTATTGCGGTCACATCTTGCGAACTGTTATAACCACCGCACGATTAAAATCAGCCACGGGATGCTTTCAGCCACTCAGAGATGAAAATCACCTACCGCTGCCGCCTGCGCTCAATTCCGTTCAGTAGCGCAGCTCTCCAGATTTGGCTGACTCCATGCGACCAGGTCAATAGCACAATCTTTAAAGGCTCGCTTTAATTTTGGCTACACCCCCGGAACAATAGCCTGACCAATAGCTGGGGCGCCGAGGTCGGCATAGTTTGTACCCCTTCCCGGCCGGCCGCCCTGGCACGTAGACAATAGGTTCATCTCGTTGGCTGTCGAAAATTACACCGGCGGCGCCGTGTGTTGGCTTTTGCGGTTCTATTAGTCGTCCCGCTACACAGGCGTGAAGAGAGCGGGGACTCGCCAATTAAACCACCTACGCTGACAGCGTCATACCGTCTGATCGATGCACTCAGCGTGCGTGACGTTATTACGGCGAATACTCCTCCCATAGCTCAGTGATAACAGCGGCCTCATTCACCGACCACGTGATCTCGCCAATTTATCTGAGGGTAACCGACACCTGTTGTCGCCGAGCCGTCACGGGCGGCGGAGATAGGAGGCTGGCCACAGACAGCCGTGCTCTGTCTGGTCGTGTATCAGATGTCTGCTCTGTTCCTCTCACAACAGCTGTTGTTTTCACACCCCTGCGCTCAGCCTTTCACCTTGGCGACGGATCTCTCAGAGTTGGTTGAGCTGCAGTTTACAGCGGGACTCTAATCTACTCACTAAGACGTCTGCATTGTAATAAATAAAGTTTGTTATGCTCCATGTTACGTGATGATTCATGGAGTCTGAGTGCAGCTAGTTCACCTCCAGACCAGCCGGCTCAGACGATTTCGCAAACCGCTTTCATAATCGCTCTCACGTCCAAGTATGCATCAAGCACATTCTCAAGATAAGGTCAAGATGACATAATGCTGGTTAATACCCCTAAAGTCCGACGGAGACCGACGCGGAATCTTACATCACGTTGAAAGCATTTCAAGTACTGGCCGATGCCCCAATTCCGCGAAGCGGCTCTCTCAATCTTTATCAGGCGCTAAGGTCGGCTCTGACCGACTGGGACTAATCCCTGCAGCCTCGGTCCAGGACATACCCCATTCTTTGCCGTCTGTTGTGTGATCCCGGGATGACATTCACTGGCCGAACTCTGCAGCTGTACAAACAGCCGTCTCCATTGGGCACTGTTTGCAGTGGAGCCGCAAGGAGGTGGTTTTAGAGCTCTGAACGGCCGTACAAGGATAGTGAGAGAGCAGCCGCTTACCACTGCGCCTACAGCGACCTCCTACCGAAGAGATAAAGTTAAACTCGATTGAAATCCAAAAACGGATGATGGAGTGACATCTTCAACGCATCCATGTCGACTGCAAAATATAAGAGGATCGCATTACTGTGAATGATGACCTTTTATGCAATAAGTCCAGCCTCAAAACTTTCTCTGCCGACTGAATATTGCTTTCAAAGTGGACAATGTAGCAATGACGGATGCGGCCGAGCCAACCAACGTGACGGGTTTGACGGATGTGGTTGGGGTCAGGCGGCACACTTCAAGCGACTACAAGCATTGCTCAGACAAGACAATGGGCCCCGTAGTGAACGTTAGTTTGCAGCCAAGTATCACTGCAGAATGTCCATTGAGTAATGAGTATGCGGTGTCAGGTTCACCGGCCATTTATTCATCGGATGGAAATCAGTCGCCGATAGAAAACACAGCTCAACATTCTGCCATTGTTTCCATTGTTTCCAAACAGAGGAATGACTAGATTGTTGAAGCAGCGAGCCTGACATGCTCAGTCTGAATGCCGTGTGCAAAGTCATCGATAATGTTTATGAGATTGTGAGCAGCAGTGATTCTTTGGTGTCTACGTAAAGTGATACATTGCAATTTCAGCCAAGCGGTTACCGATGTGCAATCGAGAATCAGGGTATGAGCAAACATTTAAAAGTACTGCGATTATTTTTGATAGCGCCTGAATAAGCATGAGGCCATTCATTGACATATTTGACAACTTATATAATATCTTTAGCCTAATGTCCAATTTGATTTGGTGCAACACTGCGGTCATATTTCACAATGCAGTTCTAAAAATAAAAGGCGTATACAGCACCAACAATTTCTATAAAGCCATCAGTTTGACATGAGATCGAAATTGTAAAGTCGACCGCTTCTCAATGTCCATAAACATTAGAGACTGCAAATACGCACAGCAGCGTAACGGAGACCGCGGCGCTGACCAGCACACTAACACCAAACGCACGCAAGACGCAGGGGACTGCATTGCTGGCCATAGCAGGAACACCAAAATAGCGCTGAGAGGGGGACACCGGACAGGGACGTTTGAGTGTGCCCTATCTACATCCCCCTGTAGTTTTAGCCACTGAGGAATGAAAAAGGAGTGTTCTCTCTTCTCGACTAGATCGGATGGCACTTTGTATAGTAGCAATCCAACAAAACATCAGTCATCAATGACAGATATTCCAAAAGTACAACAAAAGTAACGCTAAGTAATACCACACCACATGCGATGCATAAGCTACTGACATGCTACAAGGCTAAGCAAGATCACACCCAAGTCCCCCGACGACCACTTACTTGAGTAGCACCACTTTGGCCAGACGACCGGTCCCGAGGATTCCAGGTCGGTCATGTTGTGGATCGCCACGGTGACGGGTGAAGAGATACTTCCGATCAGTAGTCACACACTTCTACAGTCCGATATTCCGGCGCGGAGCAGACGGAGGACAAACTGTGCGGAGCAGGAGCGGCCGAGCGCACGTCTTGCTACCCCGAGCGGCGGCGGCTGACTGCCCGGCGCTCGGCGGCGCGCTCCAATCACAGCGCGCACGCGCTACCGGAGGTCAGCCGGCTCGACCAATCAGCGGCCGCGCCGGCCGGCCGCAGGAAGACGCTCGCCCCCTGAGAGTCGCCCTGTGGTAACCACCGGGCTCTCACACTTCCGGGGCACGGCCAGGTGCTAACGACGGTGTCCGATTCCGGGGCGACGAGCGTGCCGGCAGGATTTAGTAGAGGCTGTAGTAGGGCGAAAGATTTGACAGAAATATTTGTAGAGAAAACGGAATGAAGTCCCGTATTTTCGGAGGACGTGATACATATATGTAGGTGAGTTTTATTCGTTTATGATCCGCTCCTTCACACAAATGCGCATAGCATCAGGTAATCTATGTATAATTCACACGAACATAGTGTGCATGCTAAGTGTTTTTTCGTTTGTAGGTATGCCATACATTTTGAACGAGATATTTGAATTGATAGCAAATCGTCTTACATTGGCGATAGGAAAACTCAGCAATGAAGAAACGAAGAGCTATAATAAAGTGCAGCTTGTTGAAATATATCTTTTTTGCAATGCTGATGACGATGTTACTACTCAGGTAAAGGAAATGGTGACTGCAGATACTCATAGAATATTTCAAAATATATCTGTCTCGTTCCTCTCTAAAAGGTCCAGGTTCTGAAATTATGTTTTCGCCAATAATCTCACGACTTGTTGATTTTATTTTCGGCGCCTCGTTTTATATAATCGCATAGTAAATCAATCTTTCTAAGTCTTTGTCTAACGAACTTCTACGTCACGAACTTCTACGTTCTACGTCCGTATGTTGTCAAATGACTCCCTTGTTTTTATTTTTGCAGCCATATGGACAAGAGCTGACATTAAAATGATCATAAAAAGGCTGGGAGTAGAAGCAGTTTTTGGCAGTGGATAGGTAGGTACTCCAGCGGAGCATTAAGCAATACCCTTACTAATGCAAATCCATACAAAGAACATGCCTTCCATTTTTTTCAGTGACCTTACCGGACTCGTGTCCCTTGACCTATGTTCCAGTAATGGATTTAAAGCACCCCACCGCACAAAGACGACATTGCGCCCGCTGAGGCGCGACATGGTTGCGCGCGGGGCCGAATGTAATGGCGCCCTGTGGCAGGCGCGTGGGAACCCAAGGAGAAACTGCGCTCTTTGTGTGTTTACCGCAAACGTCTCCGCTGCCCTCCCTCCCACGGGTGCGAGGCTGAACTAACGACACCGGGACTACCTTTCACCGTAGTGGTAACACGCAGTCTGGCACCAGTTAGCGCCATTCCTATATTCTAAATGTGATGTCATATCTTCAACTGATATGTGACGCAAGGTCCGATAGAAGTAGGTATAATCATAGTGTAGCCCATAATCATAGTCTTTGTAGCCCAGCTTGCATTGATTTTTTTTTGTGTCTTTGGTATTAATCGTTGAATATACGAACAAATCGTCAGTACACAATTAGGGATCAACGATTCCCGTTGTATTTTTCCTTCTACTTTATTCTAGAACGCTTCTAGGCCTTCTAGCAATTTCAATATTTCGGGAATTATCATTTATTTTATTCGAAATCTAAGCTCAGATTCATAACATCCACTCTTCAGTCCACTTTGCTCACAGACGCATCCATTCACACACAGATCACTTCACAACACCACTCATAGCTGTCAACTCCAGTTTCCCGGAAAGACTCGCCCAATGATGCTGCAACCCCAGCCTTCTGACGTCTTCAATCACGCTACCTGAGCTGTCTTCATACCCTCTGCCCTGAATGAATCACCTACCGAGGTGCCTGAACCGACCGGCACCGGCTGTGCCCGACTCGACCCCGGTACCTGACAATGGCGGTCCGTGTCGACCCACCGGGTTCACGCGGTGCACACCTGAGCCGCACCGCGGGTCAATTGACACGTGCCTGGGGTTAGCAGGGTCGGAGGGGTCAGCCGGCGCGCGGCCGGCAGCACCACCGGGTCACGATGTGAGCCGACGCCATGCAACGTGCTGAGACCGCAACACGATGGGTGAGGTTGGGTAGACTCGTGGTGAATATATTGAAAAGCAAGGTGTTTCATTGCACACAAGGGCTTAGTGTTCGTTAGTCGCCAAGGTCTACAGTCTACTACACCACACTGCTCATGGTGTGGTGAGAGTGGTGAGGTGAGCTCGCGGGCCAGCCCGCGCCCTCCGGTCAGCCGCCCGGGGATGGACGGGCAGCTATCAGCCGGGATCTGCCGAGCGGTATGTCGGACGCGGCAGTTACTCCGGTCCACTGCCGCAGGCGTGGCACGAGCGGGCCAGGCCGGCCGCCAATCTCCACAGCTCGTGCACGTTCCACCAATACAGCCGACTTCCTTATGTGCCACGGCATTGTCTTATGTCGGCGGTGCATGCAGACGTTCGCAGTTAGAGATCTCTCACTTGCAGTCACACCCTGGTGAAGCAGTTTGTCATTCCGTGTGAGCGCGCTGGCCATGTGAACTACCACAGAGTGTGGTCAACTGGAGCTTTTTGCCGATCGTTTCCGGTCAAACACCCGAAGTGGAGAGTTCCCATGAGCGGCACGAGGCCAGCAAATGGACTAATGCCACCAAACTGCGCCGGGAACGGGCACGCCGTAACCCCAGTTCCGCTATTCACACGCCGAGCAAAAAGGACATTTCCGAAAATTTCATTCATTCCGTGTAACTTTCTCACCGCGCGCGGCCGCTCCCACGGCGCCCTTTAAAGCCGGCCCAGACGCCGGCGCGGCAAATGGCGCACTTCCTCGCGAAATCGGCGGCCGGTTCGCACGCGCCGGGACGTCCGGCCGCGTCGGCAGTGGCGGCGGCGGCGGGTCACCGCGTCGCGTGGCGCTCCGGATGCGGTCCGTGTCCGGCGTGCACCATTGATCAGCAGCGAGGCTGGCGGGTTTCCTGTGAACGCGGCCCGTCTCACGGTACAGCCAGGCTGTAATGACAGCGGCCAGTCCGGCTGATGGCACTGGCGAGCGGCCGGTAACCAGAGGGCGTGTTCGCGTGTGTGGAGTTTATCTGATGGATCGCTGTCGGGAGTGAATGTGATGAAAGATCAGTCAAAATACTGCAAAATAAACTGTCGATTACAAAATGTGCATGTTACCTCATTCGAAAGTTGTTTCTTTTACATCGTATCGCATACATTGCATTCCACTCATAATCCTCACCCCATAAATGTATGGCCCTATAGAGCAGCAGCTGGACCAACTATCCTCTTTGATTATTCAGTCACCGCCTATAAACAATGCACCGCTGGCCGATTTTCAGCGGCAGCCGACCAAGGCACGATGCAGGTGCACAAACCGAGCTCTGTAGACACCAACGCACCTGCCACTGCACCAAATCTGAGGCCGCCATGAATCACTGCACGCTGTCAGAGCGGCACACCTGCGCCGCGCTGGTCACTGCGCGCCGCACTCGCCACCGGTGCGCCACTACGTATGCAGGTCGGCCAGACCGCCACTGTGGCGGGATATTAACGGGCAGCCCCCTGCCGGCGCCCGGCCAGAGAGGAGGCACCTGTGTGGTCTGTTCTGTACGACCCGCCGCCGCTGCTGCGCCGTGCCCAGCACCCGTATATCAGACCCGGCACCGGGGGCGGGGATGGAGACATTTGTCATACGTGCAATTGAGCGGAAGTAAGCGGCCGACGTTCAGAAGAAAATATGAGATCTCGGGAAGAGAGGTCGCAAAATATGGCTTCAGATAGAACACAGGGAATATTATGCAAAGATTTGTTTGCAATTAATTCATGGCAATTGAAAATTACTAGGCAATCGATAAAAGAAATACCTAGCCTATTTTTTATTCAAATATTGCATGAGCTGTTATGCCTTTCCCATCAGTGACCGTTTCGGTAGCATATATGTACTTATGTTGCGCAAAGGCCTTAGGTGCTTCAAACATTGTCCACAAACAGGTACAGTGGGTACCTCTTGTCTGGCTTGACTGTGACCCGAACCAATATGTAGACAGCGTGAAACAAACGTTTTAATCAAACTATTCTATCTACCTACGAATCTTCCTTTGCACAGCATATGGAAACTTACGCTAGGAAAACGTCATCATTGTTGTTAGCGGTTACGCTGAAATACCAGCATACCGGTATTTATTTCGTCATTTCTTGTGAATTCTTATCGACGTTCTTAAGATCAGCTTTGGATTAACACAGTCCTAGCGCGAAAGACTCCGATGACGTCAGTAAGCAAGTTAGATTTCAGAGTTTGCTAGATTTTATCATCCTATCCTTCTGTCTCTATACATCTTATGTAGATACAAATCCATCCATCTAAATCCGTCCCAACACCTCGAAAAATTTCTACCTCACTCAAAAGTGACACCATCGGAAACTTCCTCCTGAGGAAACACGTTCAAAGCTGCTAAACTCAAATTCCGTGCCTCTTGTGAAACGACCATCGAGATTCCATCTCCTACGAAAAGCTTTTACAGTATCGCGCAGAGACGATTTTTCAGTGTCGCCCCTGTCCCGGCGCGGCGGGCCGGGACCTGTGAAAGGACGACACGGAGGGGTCACGTCGGGTGACATTTTCTCAAGAGCAGCAACGAGACAGCCATTAATTTTCATTTGGGGACTCGTTGTCCGGTGTTGTCACGTGCCAGTGGCGGCGCGTCCGTGACAAATGCCCGACGCACCGCCGCCAGGTGAGTTCGGCGCCCTGAATGTCGCATGGGATCGATGGACGACGCACACGGAGAGACGCAAGAAGTGGGGAGACGGAATCAAAGTGAGGAGACGATATAGGGACATATGTATGATGTGGTAAATTTCGGGATTCCTGAAACTAAGTGGAGGTGATGAGAACAGCACACAAAGATACACGTGCACACCACACCCCCTAAAGTTTAGCAACCATCCCTATTCCCTATCCCTACTCTGCTCGATGATCTCCCCATTTTCAGCCGATCCTAGTTAGCCCCGCCGATGGCGATGTTGTCCTCGGAATGGACCTCCGGCCGGGGCGGT